CAAAAAGAGTGATATGCAGAACACTCTTTTTTATAGCAGCATTGCCATTCTGCTAAAAATGATATCACGTTAATCATGGCTTAATACTCCAATAACATTATTGTGACCGTTACCAAATTATGGAATTTATTAAGGATTCATAGGAAGTTTTAAACAACTGCATTCTACATTGTGAAGTTAATGTCTCATATATTACATTTCATAGAATAAATTGTGGATTAAAAGATACACATTGTATAAAAAATAAAAAAGCAACTAATCATCATAACTGTGGCATTCATTATTTTTTCGAGTCCTCTCGTACTGATCTAGGTACACGCTAATTACATGTAGATAGCAACAAGTACAGTTTCTGCTTTAGCAACCAAAATAAACATTTAAACCAACAGTTCGTCGATAATGCCTCTCATAAACTGAGTAATGAGAGTAATGTTAGTGTGGCATTGAGAAAGTGGAGCATTGTTACAAACGGTAACTGTAACAGCATCACATGTTTACCGTTGAGTAGCAGTAAGTACGGAGAGTAATAAAGTTTTCTGTCACTGTGAGATCAGGAGGACAAGCATGTCTGGTCTTTACCTCGGCAAGTGCAGATGCCTGAACAGTCTGATACACATGCTTTCAGGGTAAAAACATACAAATACAACCATCCATGATGATAGCGTTGGTTCTGCTGTGATTCAGATCAGTAGGCCATGCCACTTTGCTACTGGCTGACGGACTGAGCGCATCATCAAAGTCCAGTGCTCATCTTCTGAACTCTTCTCCTTCCCCACACTCAGCTGTCCGATCAGCTGTTTGGCTGATTTGCTTGTTGGGCGAGTTTCATATATAGAGACCAAAATTTTACACCGCTCCAGATGAACCTCCGGCAAGGAGAACAAGAGGACCTCATTGAAAACAGTCACCAGGCACCGAGCCACTGTAGAGCTTTTCTGGTACTTTAGCTTGAACTGATTGCACTGGACGCTGATCCTGGCATACAGGGCTGTGCAACACACACATACACAGATTACATGAATTTATAACCGTACGTGCATCAAAGCTGGCGTCTTTTTTGTGTGAAGGTGTCTTTTTTTAATTTACCTGCATTTGATATCTCAGAAAGGACAGTTTTGACCTTTAGCAGGCCAACCTCCAGCCTCTGAGACGTGGGAAGAAATTTCAGGGACAAAAGCACCTCTCCAACAAGATCCTTTGGAGAACGCATCAGTATAATGTACATTTATGCACAGTTTAAAAAAAAAAAGTGATATAGCTGCAGGCACAAACATAAATGACAGTATTCAGCAGGGCTAAAAATCACCACATAAGCACAAAATGTATTAAATGGCCACAGTCATAACTCAAAAGTAGAACATTTTTTTCTTTTGTTTGATCTTAAATTAAAGAGGCAAAGGTCATCCTGTGGTTTCAGTTGCACTAGTGTTACAAATATATTTTTCTTTTCTTTGAGCAATTAAAAAAATATTACATTAATTATTATTGCCCCAATATAATAATTTATTATTATAGTAAGATAGATGCATAGACGGATGCCATGTTCAGTTATTGAAATATCATTGACAATACTGATGACGCCATACGATCCACAAATTACACAAACCAGTAAAAGTTAAACTAAACTTTCGGTGGAAAATAAAATTCTAGCTACACAAATGCACTTTTGGGTTCACCTGTGCAATTCTACATTTCGCCTCACTCGTGGTACATTAATGCTGTGGACAAAATATTAGGCATAGGTACTATAAACAATAACAAATATTGAAAATATTGCTTTTCTGAAAATGGAACAGTTTTTTTGTGGACTATGAAGAAGGATTATATAGTTATAACAATGTACTCTATTATATTTTTACAATCATCTATCACGTCTGTAACTGTCTGTTTAATTATTTCCAGTTACACAATGAATATTAGCTTTCATTTTTATTATTATGGCTAAATATAGTTATTATATAGTTTTATAATCATACTGACATACTCTGTATTTCACCTTTACATAACATCAACTACTTGAGATGCTACTGAAAGCCAGGCCTGTGTGCATGCTGTGTGTTGTGTGTGTGCGCCCCCTGCAGTACCTTCTGCGGTATCTTTAGATCCTCTTGTAGTTCCAGAGGGTAGGAGATGTTGAGCTGTCCTAAAGGAACCCTCACATCTCCTAACACTGTGTTTCTGGAGAATTTATCAAAGTCTCTTACCTGAGATGCATACAGACAACTGATAAATGATTTACACCACAACAGATAAAAACATTTATCATTCATACTTTTTTCTCTCAACAAGTGAAAAGAGACTAAAGTACTATAACATAGCTGTAGTGCTTATGGTTTTAAATTCTTTGGCCCTTGAAATGTGACAGCTAACATGCAAACTGCATGCACGATGTAGTACAAGCAATACCGTTTGAGTCCAACAAATATGTTTTAAGAATGAGAGATATGTAGTGCAGAACCTCCATCCTTAGGTT